CAGGAGACAGCGAATCACGAACACGAAACGAAAGAAATTCAAACAGAGAGCCAGGATTCAACAATTTTTGGGTCCACTTAGATGCTGCATGGCTCTACAGACTGTCGGGTTCATAGCCTAAAATAAGACAGTTCCTTGTTAATACATTATTTTGTTTCAGGGTCAGCAGTGCTATACGAGCGAGGCGAGGCATCAGCATAGCCTAGCCGCCATTCACTCACTCTTGAATCCTTGAATTGTTTGACGTCAGGCGCTATGATAGGTGTACCGAAGCTAGATGCATATTGTGAACCTGCATGAGGAAGTATACAGAGAAGGCATACCTGAATCATACTGGAATGCGCAAGGCAATGGGAGTGATGCTCTGAGTCATGGGTTGGGGAGATGTATTGTGACAACATGAGATACAAGTAAAGTACATGAGGATTAGATGCAATAAAAGGATAACGGGGTGTGGAGAAGTCAAGCAAAGTTGGCAGTGACGTGAGGGAGTCAGGAGCAATAGAGTAAGTGGATAAATCCAGGAAAAATAGAGTAGAGATTTTTAGAGAACAGGAAGTACAATAGTGTATAGTACGAGTCCGTTTAAGCAGGATATAGCAAATCATAGAGACAAAACAAAAGAAATCAGAATAGAGAGCCAGAATTCAACAAGTCCATGGCGATCAGAGGTGTGTACGGAGGAGTACACGTACATTGCCATGAGACCAATCAATCTTTCAAGGTAAGTGAAGCAAATATAGCTCAGAAGGCGCCCCTTGTGCCAACTTTGATACCACACAGTATAACTGTACCATCCCTTGTGGCCTTGTCTAAGTATGATCCATATGGGGAAAGTAGATTCTGTATTGGGCCAATTGGGCATGGGCTTTGATGGGGTTGTACACTATGGGCATACAAGACTTTTGTGCAGCAAACTCAGTAAACACTCAAATCAATCAGTGCTTGTCCTTCCCACTCATACTGTCCCCCCAACTCAGCCACATATGTGCTTGTCTCTACCCTGAAAAACATAATTTGTGATGGGTGGTCACAATCCGAAGAAGCAACCGAATACTAATACCATACCAGATGACTCTCCAAATAAGAAATCTGAGTGCAAGATGGGACACCCGCACAATATCGATGACATGCTATACAACCATATCATGAGTAGTCTCCCCAACTATGCTGCTTTGAAAGTGAGACAGAAGAGGAGAGAACCTGTCTATATTGGCAAGCTATACAACAAACAGACTTTCAATGTAATCACAAAATACGGATGAGACTCCTTCAAAGCCCTGATACGGAACAAGAAGGAGGTGAACGAGGGAGCCCAAGCTGCAGGGATAGATTTGATAAACAAGACCCTGGCTGCTGGTAGAGTAGGTGGTGACTCATAGATACAGCCCTACCAGAGGAAGGATGAGGTGGTGATGTTTGCTTGGAATGTAAGTATTATGGATATACCGGCTCGACATGTGACTAACTTGTTCACTGCACACAGAGAATCACAAAGGTCTCCAAGCAAGAAGCCCATGCAGTGGCGAGCAGAACAAGGCCAACCGTTGACATCCCAAATCTCATTAAATCTATTATGACAAAGCCAATGCTGCACTAGCTATACCAAGAAGTATTGGCTAAGTTAGAACAAAGACTAGACCTAGAGTCCAAAGTAGACCGCAGGTAAGCCACGGGTGTCGAAGAGAAAGACTCGAATATCATCTCACAAGGGGCCATTTGGAACTCGGTGGCAGTGGCATGATGCAGCTTGATGAGTGAGAAAAAGAAGGATTGCATATGCCAGGAGGCTGCTAAGCTCCTCAATATCAAGAGAAAAAAGTGGGAGGACCAGGAGACATCTTCTCCTTTATCTCTCAATGAATTCCACAAGTAAGCTAAATATTAGAGCCATGCAACCACTCACTGATAGCAGCTTCATGGAGGGGTCCGAGGAGTTTCCATGCATGATGATACAGTTTTTTGCCAATTGTGTATCTAGAATTGCTGTCATGTTTCTACCGGGAATAGATGAAATCAGCTTGTGAGTACCATATTGGGTGTAGAGTGAAAGAGTCACTAATATACACTTCAGATCTGAGGCCATCTGCGAGATCCCTGGGCATCCAAAAGTGTTGTATAGTCAAGTTGCTCAGAAAGAAGCGACATTGAAACTAATGGGAGGGCAGATATTGGCTTGGTGTCTGATGAACGGTGCACTCTGGTGCAGTGAGTATACTTATATGCTACTACCATTATGCAGCATCAAAATGGGGATTGCACCCAGATAATGATAACCCACCCAAAGCCTCTAATAACTTAGTGAGCTCTTTGAGCAAGAGTCCCTGGCTGGATCATGCACTACATAAGACTGATCATCCAGAGTGTTATGACAGAGAAAAGAACATCTCCTTCTCAGACTATACCATAGCCACTTGTCTGGTTCAGCATGTATGCTGGAGTTGTTATGTTGAAGAACTGCTGTGGATGTCATCAGATGGACGCTGACACAGGCAGACTTCATGTCAATAGGCTTATCAAAGAGGGAGTCCACGTGCACGCACAAGAAATCTTGGTAGCAGTCACTATTCACGAACCTCTGCCAGTGAGTGCGCTTTGGGACTTGACAATACACAAGTTAAAGTATTGTATAGTAGACACAGCTCATTTATAGTAATGTGGGGAATCATTTCTGATTTTCTTTGGGCAAAGCAGCACTAAATGAGCCTGCCTACAGACTTTGGGCATAGTGGCCAAGCACAAAGCAGTGCAACAACAAATCTTAGCTGCCAAACTAAAATAATGGTGGGAAAGGTAGAAGTGGAAAAGACTGCTGTTAAAGCCGAGTCTATGGCTGCTCTAGCATTATTCTATGTGGATGCAGAGTCAGAAAATAAGGTGATATTCACAGGACTTGATGCAACCGCACCTGCATCTGTGCCTATACTGGTTCCTGCATCAGCACCAGCACCCGCTTCTGTCTTTAGGTCTGTACTAGGACTTGCACCTGTATTAAGAGTTGCACCTGCACCCATATCTGCACCTACATCTGCACCTACACCCGCTATGAGCAGCACATTGGTCATGACCTTTGACTCTCTCACGTTGTTCATCAACCTTGATAATGTCAAGGTCAGCACTCATTATTCCTTTACCAGTACAAGATCTGACTACAGGCTTAGGCCACATACCTAGATAGGCTAAAGAAAGCAGTGTTAGCACTCATTCTCAGAAAAGCATGGTGGGACACTGGCAGCACCAAATTAAACACAGTCTAGTAATGTGCATGGATGAAACCAAAAACATGCATGATGTGTCAGCAACGGCTAGGCGGCCGCTTACTAACGAAGACAAGGGCAAGTGAGTTAACCAAGATAAGCGGCTAGGTAGCTGGTGTATAGACTAGATCAAGGTTAAGAGTAAGTTACAAGCGAGGGCGGAGTCTTATATAGGTATGACGAGGCAAATAACTATAAACAAGGCACGAGAACTAGATAAGTTGAGTGTGAGTCACGGGGATTGCCAAGTCATGTGAGAGTCCGGGAAAAGGAAAGAAAAAGGAAAAAGAGAATGGATAACTGGGTGTCCGTAACATCACCCTCCCTTCAGGCTAGTCACCCACGACTAGACATGCATACATTGTGGGTGTGCCTTGTGGTAGTCATCAATTGCTTTGTCAGCATCCTGCATCAAATTGGCGACTGGCTCCCAACTAGTATGGCGGTCCTAGTATCCCTTCCACTTGACCAAGTACATCATGCTCCGGTGTGTGCCTCGGCCGATAATCTTGGAGTTGATGACGGCCTCGACCTCATATCGTTCTTTACTGTTAATCATCTCAGGTGGGGGCTCTGGCGGGTTGGCTTGATTCGCGAAAGCGGGCAGGGTGTAGGGCATGAGGAGAGCCTTATTGAACATGTTGTGCGTCTTCCATGTTGGGGGAATGTCCAAGCGATATGTGGAGGCACCAATCCTCTCGAGGATTTTGAAAGGGCCATGACGACATTCATTAAGCGCGCGTGAAGGACGTTTGGACTTGAGGTTAGTCACTTCAAGCTACACCTGGGCACCGACCTCATAGTTGCAAGCATCCTGGCAATGTCGATTGTAAACCTCCTTCATGGTTTCTCTAGCCTGATGTAGTGCGGATGTGATCTCCTCATGAACCTTCTTGAGATGCTGTGCGTATGACGTGGCGGCAGGTATGTGGTCTGTAGTGCGGGGATTGAGTCTGCTATACGGGTGGCGTCCCTCAGAGGCATGGAACGGTGTTTCGTGATTCGAGGAATGAACCATGTTGTTGTACAAAAACTGCGCCGACTTGAGGTATTTGACCCAATCGCTCTGGTGATAATCCATGTAGAGGCAGAGGAAGGTCTTGAGCTCCTGGTTATAGCGCTCAGTAAGTCCATCTGTCTGTGGATAATACGCCGTTGAGGGATTCCCGACGATGCCAAGTTGGTCCATGAGAGCGCGTGTGAATGAGGAAACAGAGGTAGAGCCGCGGTCGGTGATGATCTTGCGCGGTTAGCCGTGCTCGCTGTAGACGTGGTCATAGAAGAGTTGGGAGAGCTGGCCTGAGTCCGTGGTGTCTCTGCAGGGGATACAGATAACACGGCAACTGAAGTAGTCGTTGATATTGAGTACCATGTTGAAACCTTCACATTGGGTAGCGGGCCCACAAAATCCATAGAGATAACCTCGAAGGGGCGAGTAGGTGTCTCGTTGGGCTGAAGTGGCGCGTGAGGGCTTTCTCGTCGGTACTTGATGCGCTGGCAGAGCCGGCATCCTGCCACATAACGTCCTATGTCCTTCCTGATGCTTGGCCACCAATACATCCGTGTGATGAGCTCTTCCGTTTTGTAGTGTCCTGGGTGTCCCGTGGCGAGTGAGTCATGGTGCGCTTTAATGATGTCTGCGCGTAAGGCTTCGTCAGATGGCACATAGATGTGGTTGTTGTGTGTAAGCAGGCCGCCTGCATGCTCTTTCCAGCGCGGATTCTTGATGAGCAAGGCAAGCTCGACGGATTCCTCTCGTTCGGCAGTGCAGTCTTTGATGCGACGGATTGTGGGCTTGTCTTCGCCGGCAAAATCGAATGCTGTAGCGTGAAGTAGGACACGGCAAAACTCGGGTTTGAGCAGGACAACGTCCTGGTTGTTGTTCTCCCCCCTTTCATGTCCTGCTTCGCGTGAAAGCGCGTCAGGACAACCCATGAGGCCACCGGGCTTGTGGTGGAGCGTAAAGTCGTACTCCTGCATCTCGGTGAACCAGTGGGCTTGGCAGCAATTGAGGCGACAAGCTTCATGGAAGTACGTGAGATTCTGGTGATCTGACCAGATTTCGAACGTGTGACGGGCGCCCAAGAGGTATTGGTGCCATTCCTCAAGCGCAAGCATGATGGCCAGGAGCTCCTTGTCGTAGATCTCATAGTTGCGCTCTGCTTCACTGAGCGATTTAGAGAAGTATGCGACCGGGTGCCATTTGCCGTCAGCAGCCTTTTGCGAGAGCACTGCACCCGTTGCAAAGTCAGAGGCATCGGCCTCGACCCTAAACGGAGAGTCGTCGACTGGGATGACCAGGACGGGCTCGGATGTGACGCACAGCTTGAGTTCCTCGAATGCGAGCTGTTGTTCAATGCCCCATTCCCAAGGGACGTCTCCGGTAAGGCGATGAAGCGGGCGAGAAACGTGGCTGAAGTCCTTGATGAAGCGGTGGTAGAAGTTGTAGAAACCTAGGAATGACTGTAGCTCCTTTTTGCGTGTTGGGACAGCCCACTTGGCAACGGCCTTGATCTTGGCAGGATCCATGCAAACATGTCCCTCCTCAACGATCATGCCAAGGTATTCGATTTTGGTTTGCTCGAACTCGCACTTCTCGGGCTGAAGATACAGCTTGTTCTCCCGTAGTATGCGTGAAACCTTGCGTGTCACGCAACAATGTTCCTCGAGCATCTTGGTGAAAATGAGAATGTTGTCAAGATAGACAACAACAACGCCCTCATGGATGAGGTCACGGAATAGCTTGTTCATTATGGCTTGGAATGTGGCAGGCAAGTTGGTGAGGCCAAAGAACATGACAGTCAGTTCGAAGAGTCCCATGTTGGTGCAGAATGCGGCCTTCCGCTCGTCGCCCTCCTTAATGCGCATGTTATTGTATCCCCGGCAAACATCCAACTTGGTGAAATAGCGGGCACCCTTGAGCTTGTCGAGAAGCTCTTGGATGAGCGGTAGTGGGTAGCGATTCTTCACAGTCATCTCGTTGAGCTTGCGGTAGTCCTGAACGGGGCGTAGAGAACCGTCCTTCTTTTTGATGAAGAAGAAGGGAGAAGCCATGGGTGATTTGGACGGGCGGATGCGGCCGGATTTGAGGTTCTCTTCGATGAACTTGCGCAGTTCGTCCTGTTCAGCGAGCATGAGGGGATAGACCTTGCAGTCAACTGGGTGTGCACCTTGAATGAGCTCGATGACGTGACTCCACTTGGTCTGTGGTGGGAGCTTGTCAAAGTCCTCCTTATCAAAGAGGTCGCGGAAGTCGTGGTAGAGCGAGGGTACGCGCTCTTAGAAGGTTTGTTCCTTCTTGAGCTTAGCTTTTTCATGTGCGATAGCAGACAAGTGTGTCAAAGTGGCATGTGGATATTCAGCGCCTGCGTGTAGGAAACCCTCCCAACCGGGTGCAAGTAACCGTTCCCCCTCCTGAAGCTCCGGTAGATCAATGACATCTTCAGTCTCCTCCTCTTGGCGCATGTGGTCCTGGAGCTTGGTGCATAGCTCTGGGCAACGATCAAACTGTTGAATTCTGGCTCTCTGTTTG